GGGGGGGGCACATGATTAATGACACAGCATCAATAAACCAAACCATAAACTTTATGTTAAGATGGTTATAATGATTAAACTCATCTGCAATGATGAAAATACTGTAGTGTCTTAATGCCACTCTAAAGGAAGTGCTATATCCTGGCGGCAAGGATGTAACCATGTCACCAGCCACGGTCCACCACCTGACACCTGTCACACTGACACTAGTTAATGAAAAACTTATATATATATTGTATATATATATACTTACCTCTATACTTACCACTTGAGAGGAGGGAGGGGACAATAAACTTGTGCAACCAAGAAAGACAAGTACAAACGAGCAAGCAATATGCCATTAGCAGGAAATGAGCACATGACTGTTACCAGATAGCAAAAGATTTCAGTCTTCCTTTATATTTAAATATATTTTGCTAAATTACTAATGTAATATCCAACACCTTTTTCAAAATACTGTAGTTTTTTCCTTATAAGATACTTTCATTTTCAAGATACAAAGCAATTTCAAGTTTGTTTGCCATTCGGCAAAGCCTTACCCAAGGGAACTTTAGCTGAATTGATTTGTTAGTGAAGTAATCATTAGATAAATGTTTGTTGCAAATGGCCTATTGCATGCGATGCCAACATAAGCCAAACGTTTTGCCCGGCAAGCATATTCAGGGGTCCTAGAAACAGCAGCAAGACTGATGGCCAGCTAGCCTTGAGTTTGACCTTGCCTTAATTATATTTAGCTCCATATAGCATTGCTAACAAACATGTTGCCCTCATACCATCATACTCTAATGATGGCTGCATTGGGCATATTTACAACAATGAACCTGACTCTTTGTTACATCTCTATGAATACTTGATTGAATTAAAAAGATTTATTCATTTGTTAAAGGCTCATGAACAACTTAAACTTGAACAACAAAAACGAAGTAAGTTTGGAGACGACCGTGAAGAAAGCCTGGTCAAAGAAAGCGAGTCCAGAGAAGCTAGTTTCCTTCACAAGATACGGGATCTTGAAAATGAATTACGACAAGCAAAAAAGTCTGAGAAGGAGGCTCTTCAGGAGAGTGACAAACAGACAACTCAAATCAGTAACCTGTTAAAGGAAGCAGAGCTAGCCAACCAAGCCAAGAAAGAATTATTCAATGAGATAAGGCAGCTGAAGTATAGGGAATCTAAGCATCTACAGGAGTATGGAGAACTGGAAGAGGAAAATATTAACCTCCAAAAACAGGTACATTAGAATTTAAAAAAATTTCTGATAGTATTCACTCAAAATAATTACTTACTATGGTTTTTGCATATTCTGCAAACTCAGACATTTCRACAGCTCATAGTGAAATTTAATTTTTACTGTCACCAGTCGAGAACATAAAAGGTACCGAAAGATTATTTTTGATTGACGGCAAAAAACTACCGCATTTGCAGAATATCCAAAACTGCAGTAAATGGAACAGTTGTGGACAAAAATATTACTCACTCTCCTCCCCCAATGCAGGTGGAAAAAGGAGCAGAGGTTTAAAGATAGGAGTGAGTAAATAGGACTTTTGTGCTTTTGGGTGATAAGTTGCTTCACTTCAAGGAATACCATACAAGGGTTGATAAAAAAGATACAGCTGATGAGAATGCACCACATTGGAAAAAGACTGTGTAGGATATATGGGAAGGAAAATGCAGGGGAATGGATAGAAGGGATTTGGTTAGGATTTATCAATCTTGGTCCTTAAACTTGCGCGACTGATAATACGGCGTCCAAACCATTGTCTTGCTGGTGCCAATCAATATCACAGAAGCCCTTGACACAAGTGAAGTGCATCCTGGGAAGTCAGTTCTGTGTTAAGCTAATCCCTGCATCCCTTAGGCATCCACCCTGTGAATTTAAAGAAGAGCAGATGATGGGGAAGGATGGGATGGTGGTGGGCAAGCTATATGTCAGTAACTGTATGAAATGATTTCAAAAATTATCATCATTTTGCTGATTAAATCCATTCACTTTTCTTCAGTACTCTACACTTAAGATATCCTTGGTGGAGTTTGAAGCCCTGAAAGTTGAAAATAAAAGTTTGTCAGATGAGATAGATGCCATTCAGCTACAGCTTCAAATGGCATGTGAAAGAAGAGACCAGATACAAAAGCAACTGAACGAGGCATTAGAATCCCTTAAAGAACAACGTGAAAGAAATACTGTATTGCAAAAAGAACTACAGGAGAGCCGCCAGACACCTTCCTTTAGTAGTTGGGAGATTGAGAGTTCTGTCGTTGCGCAGATCAATGAAGAAAACGAAAAGAAAAAGGATGGCAATGATTCTGGCAGTGAAGAACCAACATCACCTTTAAGCCCTGCTCCTGCTCTGGTTGAGGATCTTATGAAGGAGCTACAGCTTTCTGAGAAGAAAGGATACGAAGAAGAATTATCAAGACTCACTATCGAATTAGAAAAGAAGAATCTTGACGCTGCCAGGCTTAAAGAAGAGTATGACGCCCTTGCAACAATCCGAGAAGCCAAGCTTCTGTGTGATACCTTAGATGATGAGTTTGATGAAAGCGAGTTGAATATTTCTCTAGAGAACTGTGTGAAGATCAACAATCAGCTCAAGGAACTTGAAGAAATGAAGAAAATTCTTAAGCGTTACCAAACCAAGGATGGCAAATACCAGGCGCAAATGAGGGATTTGAAGAACGAGGTTGACAGTCTACGAACCAAGCTTGCTGCTGCCCAGACCAAAGCAGACGAGGCAGTTTTCCTCACAAACAAGACAAAGGAGTTGGAAGAACAGAATATGAACTTTAAAAATAATTTGGCCGAGTCTGAGGAAATCATTAAAGGTTTACAGGATGATGTGAAGTCAATGAGTGACCTTGCGGGGGAGGCCCAGGGGAGTTTGAATTGCACCCAAGACGAGCTGAGATATGTCAGTAGTGATTTAGCTAAGCTGTATAAACATGTGTGTTCGGCTAATGGGGAAACGCCCAGTAAATTGATCATGCAAGGGGACAAGGTTCAAGAAAAGAAAGACCCAAATGCGTCTGGGGAGGAAAAATTACTTGAATCCTCAGTGGCTTCATCATCTCCATCTCCTATGAACCAAAATGGTGTTCCYGAAGAACGCCAGTCACCAATGGGCAGTGAAAACCCTAACGATTCAGAAGAACGTGCGGATCCAATGTCTTGTTATCGTCTGATTAGCACCGTTAGGGATCAAGTGAAGTTTCTCAAACGTGCCGTTGAGAAATCAGTCGAAGTGTCACGTCAACGCGCACTCGAATACCGCACAGTCGTAACTGACGATCATGTGCCTTCACCTGGTGAATATGAYGACTCACTAAGACAGCAAATCATTAAACTCCAAGGTCTCCTTGCAACCAAACGTGAGCAAATTACTACCTTAAGGACAGTGCTCAAGGCCAATAAGTCAACTTATGAGGTCGCGCTGGCAAATCTCAAGAGCCGGTATGAAAATGACAAAGCTGTTCAATCTGAGTCTTACTCACAGTTGAAGAGGAATCTCAAGGCCCTAAAGGCAGAAGCGGCAACATTTGCGTCGTTACGAAGTATGTTTGCAAATCGTTGTGAGGAATATGTGGTACAAATGGATGAGTTGCAGAGGAAGTTCTCAGCTGCCGAGGAAGAGAAAAAGACATTGAATCAGCTACTTAAGCAAGCAATTCATCAAAAGATTGCGCTTACGCAAAGACTTGAAGAGTTTGAAATTGCACGGGAAAGGTTACGTGCATACACAAGGAAGAAATCTAAGGCTGCTAAGGCCAGGCCATCCACAAGGGTTTGACAAAATTAAGGAAAAAAATATTATATATTATAGCTTTCATAAGAGAGGTTTTATGACACAAATTATATTTTAAATCAATAGTAACTGTATTTTTTAGAATCCAATCTTGAAAAATGATAAAATATGGCCATTTCTCTTTTAAATCAGTTTAATTTCTGAATATTTTGGAATATTGAAGTGGGATGAAGTTAAAACTTGCCATTAATATTCATTGTGCTGTGTTGCGCATTGCTAGGAAAAAGAGCTTGGAGTCGAATGAAATGTCTCCTTCATTTCCAATCACTCTACCAAGCTCACCCTCCCCTACAGTATGYACAGGTGGCATGCTGGTATGGTAGTTATGGATGACAGTTAAATAAAGGACTTCATATTTGTGTCCTTCATCTCACCCCATCCCTTTTTCCAGTTACCTTACAAGTGGCATCTAGAGATTGCATACAAGGAAAGCCATAGGGAGGTTAGGCATGATACACAAGGCTTTTGATGAGTTTGTAGCCCTCTTTTGTAGACATAATTTATAAAATAAGCCATATTGATGACTTGAAACTCCAGTGTATGTTGGCTTAGCCTTGAAAATGAGTTACTTGTTTTGTTATTTTAATTCCTGCTTTTGTTTACCGACATGACAGAAGTGAAGCTAAGCATGCATGGATATGCTGGACTATTCAAAGTCGTCAATAAACCATAATATCTATAACAACTAAAGTTAAATTCCACCAACATACTTATATATTGTATTATACTTTTTAACTTTATAAGGTGACATAATATATTGTAATTGAATTAATATTACTTTAATTTAACAAAAATGTGGAGAAAATTCCACCTAGATTAAATTTTGTAAACAACAATCAGGTCTCAGCTAGTGGCTTAAAATAATGGTAACACTATRTTGTTAAGCAAGCAAGTGTTAAATTAAAAACAGTTGACATTTGCACCTTTGTTTTCTTTATGTGTCTTTTAGAGGAAAAATTACCAGCATCATGATAGCCTGCGTTGGATCCAGAATTTTTTTCCTAAAGAAAATTCCAGATGCAATGCAGACTAGCCTCATGACAACTTCTGAAAGGAAGTAGGGTTCTTTGCAAAAGTAGCCTGTATTGTGCACAGACATTGCTGGTTGGGGGAAGGAACTTTTATTTTGTACAGGGACRTCTAGAGCTGTGCCCTGAAGTTTTACTGGTCTTCCAGAATGGTAAGAAAAATTAATGATTCTTTGTGCTAACTTCAATACTAATTCTTACAATAGGACATTTGCATGATAGCGTCATTGACYTCTACTACCAGACTCCTTTAGCATTAGCACCAAATGTCTTACTATTSTCATGAGGGAATACAAATTTAAATAAGAAAGAAAATTTGAACAGCATTATGGTAGTGGGAGTCAAATGATGTCATCTTGCAAACGTCCTATTCCAATCATGTAATTTTTTCATGTACTATTAGTATGTGTAATAGGACTCCATGCTGTCCAATGAAGAAATAATTGGACGAGGAAAATTCAGAGGACTGACAAAATTGGATGAGGCTGTAGGCCGAGTCCAATTTGGCAGTCAGAGGAATTTTTCGAGTTCTAATTATTTCTTAATTTGGGAGCATGAAATCCCATTACCTATTAATTATATAGCTGCCTAATTAATCCCATATCAACAAGACCTGTCCAATTAAGAAAATAATTGGACAGTTACCTATATGGGATTAATGAGAAGTTGTATAATTATATAAGTAATTGATTCCATTGCTTGTACTCTTAGAGAGAAAACATCTATTCTGAGGATCTACACAGTTTAAGGTGAATCGTTTTTTGAACATTTCTTTATTTTTCTTCTCTGCTGTTTTTGCTCAGAATTTTTCATAGGTTAAACAATTCCTTTCTTCTACCAAATTAATTGTGATCAAATTACTATTTGCATAGTGATGCACTTTCATATCTTCTATCATAGTACTTTTTCCTGGTGATGCACTATAGTACTTCCTGTTTCTTTATATTCACTGTAGTTATTGGTTTTGGAGAGACTTGCCAACAGTCCTCACTTACTTTGTCCAGTGTATGGTGTTACTATTGGATCCTGTCTCTTAAATATTTGCATTTGATCTCTGTAGGTAACATCAGTTAGAGAGTTTACAAGTGTGAATGTAAAAACTACCAAGAATTGTGGAAATCCTGCCTTGGTAATCAGACTTTCAGTTCCTGTGGAAAGGTGAGAACATTAAGCATTCACAGATTGAGGAGACAATGGGGTCCAGTTGGCATTGCAGTGCATTGTGGGACTGTTTTAGGGGACAAAATAGACATGTCTTGGAGCTATGTCTCCTTTATAGTCCCAAAATGCACTGCAATGTCAACTCGACCCCTTCACAGTTCCTGGTGCCATCTTGAAAGGTAACTGTGCCTGTGCATCGAAGATATTATGGCAATGTCCTTAACAGCTTGGACGATTGTTYACATGTGTCTATCATTTCAAGGTCAACACCATCCTCACTTCAATGCACAGGCATGGGTACCTTTGCCCTTGACAAAATTACAATTTTAGAGATTGTGTATAAACATTTTCTCACTATCTCACTTTTCATTGGCAGAGACCTCTCAGCCAATCCCTGATATCGTGTGAACTCAACATGATAATTGTGTTATCTGTAGGTTTTCCTGCAGATATACATTTACTGTATGTTAAGTTCACTCGAGATCACAATGGAAATTGAAATATATTTGCTATTTTTTTTAAAGCAGAATGAAATCTTCATTGTTAGTTTAAGAAATGTATAATAAAACAATCATTGAATTCAGTTTTTTCCCCATGATATTGTAAATTATCAGGACATCGACTGTTTTATTTGCCTCAGCCTTGGCTTTGGCAGATAACACAGCCTAATTATTGGTCTTGATAATTTACAATATCATGCCCAATCTCATCCAATAATGGTTTAGTATTTGATATCTGATCATTGCCATGGTAACTGTGATGAATGGTGTTTCACTTTTGTTATGTGGACGTGATAAGTTATAAATTTCTATTTATTTCTTCCTTTTTTAGCCCTTCAAACTAGATTCTTTCAGAAAGGTGGAGGTCTTCRCGAACAAGTATGTTGGTGATGTTCAAAGTCTTTAAAATCAGTGACACGAAGACATGAGGGATATTCTACATAAGTGACCGTCCATAAGGACGAAGGGTGAAGGGAGGGGAGGGGGTGGGGTGATATGGATTTTGAGTTTTGAAGATCCATTTTTTGTGGTAGACCCCTTTACAAACGTAATATTATGTGTGCCCCCTTCCTCAAAATTTCAGARAAATTTATCAAAAAGTTTAGCTACCTCCTCAATTTTGTGCTGTGTTTGTTGGCGTTTTTCATAAGGCAGCCATGTTGCTTTGAACAATAGATTCTCTCATTCAAGTACTTTATGTTAAACAAAGGTTTTTGTTCTTCTGAGAATAAACATGGCTGTCACATGAGTAAGACCCATGTTGATCAGAGGATGGCTATTCTGTGTTATATCACATACTAAATGCCCAGAAGGTATTACGACTGTCTGCATTAGATGTGTTAGACACATGGGGTATATTGTTAATATATGTTGCATATATGTTAGATGCATGAGGTATGTGCACTATGCACTCTACATGTATTAGATACGCTGCGCACACCAGGTGTGTTAGATGTACAGGGTATATTATGTTAGTATATGATGCACAGTGTATTTGTTATGTTAGATGCGCAGGGTACAGTGAGTATTGAATACCCCATGCACTCTACATGTATTAGATACACTGTGCACACCAGGTGTGTTAGATGTACAGGGTATATTATGTTAGTATATGATGCACAATTATGTATTTGATATGTTAGATGCGCAGGGTACAGTGAGTAGAGTGCAAACAATTAATCCGTGAAACACTAATTACTAAATAGTACAAAATAGTGCTAATTAAACAATAGAAAACAATAGAATTTGCATGAAATTGTGCTATTTAGTATTTCTAAAGTTTCACGGTTATATTGTTTAGACTCTATTAAATACCCTGTGCACACTACATGTATTAGATACACTGCGCACACCAGGTGTGTTAGATGCAAAGGATATATTGTTAGTATATGATGCATGGTGTATTTGTATGTTAGATGCGCAGGGTACAGTGAGTATTAAATACCCCGTGCACTCTACGTGTRTTAGATACACTGCGCAAACCAGGTGTGTTAGATACACAGGGCATATTGTTAGTATATGATGCACGGTGTATTCACTGTTAGATGCGCAGGGTACAGTGAGTATTGAATACCCCGTGCACTCTACGTGTATTAGATATACTGCGCACACCAGGTGTGTTAGATGCACAGGGTATGTTGTTAGTATATGATGCACGGTGTATTCAATATGTTAGATGCGCAGGGTACAGTGAGTATTGAATACCCCGTGCACTCTACGTGTATTAGATATACTGCGCAAACCAGGTGTGTTAGATGCACAGGGTATATTGTTAGTATATGATGCACAGTGTATTCAATATGTTAGATGGCAGGGTACAGTGAGTATTGAATACCCCGTGCACTCTACGTGTATTAGATACACTGCGCACACCAGGTGTGTTAGATGCATAGGGTATATTGTTAGTATATGATGCACGGTGTATTCAATATGTTAGATGCGCAGGGTACAGTGAGTATTGAATACCCTGTGCACTCTACATGTATTAGATACACTGAGCACACCCGGTGTGTTAGATGCAAAGGGTATATTGTTAGTATATGATGCACAATTATGTATTTGATATGTTAGATGCGCAGGGTACATAAATATATGTTCATTATTTGATAGGCATAGCTGAACAGCACTCGTCGCTCGAGTATAATGTATTTACTCTTAATGCGCAGAAAGTTTTGTATGTTTTTTTTGTATGTGAAGTATGATAATTTAGTGTCCTTTTACTTGTACGAGGTTGCGCACATATAAAGCTGTTCGAGATTGACGACATTGTTTAAGCTAACGACAGCGCGCGATAGTACTGCTTGGTCACGACACGGTCACGGTACAACTTATACGTAAATGATTTGCTCTAGATACATCGTGTGCACTGTCCATTTACATGTTGTGCCCAATGCTTGTGTAGTTGGCTAGATGCATCGTGTACAGTTAGTGTGTGACGCGCGCTTCACGGTGCACATGCATTACATTGATGCGCAATATTTTCTTCAATATAATTTCTATAATAAAAAGTAAACCCGTATTTACCCGATTATACGCTGGCATAACCGAGTACGGTAACGAATAGGATTAAAAAAATGCCATCGCATTTTATATCAATTTAATAAAGTTGTATTTTCACTGTATAAATTTCGTCTGTTGGTTGGTATTTGATGTTAGAGCAGGCCCATTGCAATGCCTGGATATCTGGGAGGGGGGAGGNGGAGGGGGAGGGAGGGGGGAAGGCAAATGTCGCATGTCATTTTGCGAGTGTATATGACTTTTTGTGTGGTTCAAATTGACTTTTATAAAGTCTGGGGGAGGGAGGGGGAGGGAGGGGGGAAGGCAAATGTCGCATGTCATTTTGCGAGTGTATATGACTTTTTGTGTGGTTCAAATTGACTTTTATAAAGTCTGGACTTGGGACCTGACTCCACCCTGCCCCAGAGTGATTTTGCTTGGCCCCTGAAACAAGATTGGATAATAAGAGACTAACAGTCCAAGTAAAACAAAAGAAAACAATGGAATTAGTGTATACTATGTATGCTCACTATTTTTTCACGGCTCAAGTGAAATCCCACTATTATAGTGAGTGATAACTTTTACAGAAATTTTGAACAAAGGGATTTATTTAGCACAAAATAGCAATGCTCAAAAAGCATTCCTTTTATCTCGGGTCTTGAATAATAGGCGTCTTGCAGGATGATTTTTTCATTGTTCAATAGTCCAATAAGAAAAAAGCTATTGGTAAGCAAATTTAGATTCGTTGAGCACTGAACTGTATCTTGAGAAAGTTTTATTGTGTTGTCCTCCATGTTGATGATATGATTGAGCAAAGAAACGACGATGGAACACGAAATAAGTCAAGAATCTGGCTGGATTCAACACCTAGATGCTCAGTACGTTCAGTTTACAAAACAACTACAGGTTTGTCACTTTCCAATCAAACTAATTAGGTGTATTTCGGTATTTGTTTAAGATATTGTATAACATACACAACTGCTTATCCCTAGCTAGGGAGGGGGGAGTTCGGAAGATTTTTGTTGCCACATCAAAAGGTTAACTCTAGCGCAATAAAAACCACGTGATCCTCTAATTAACCTTATCCCCGGCACCATTTACGGGATACCTGTGGTTACATTGAGGTGACTTTGGGGTCCCTGTGGTAAAATAATCATTTGGTCTAAATAAGAAAATTGACTTCTTATAAAGCTTTAAGAAACATATAGTTAAAAATAGCAATCTTTTGTAAAACGAATAATCCATAACGTCCAATCCCATATTAAGCTGTTTAACTTGTTTTTTTTGACATTTTCGTGTAAGGAATTCCAGTATAACAGGGTTTTCTAAGCCTGGTATAAAAAAAAAAAAAAAATTTGAAATCGCTTCCCGCGCTATCACCAACCTCCTAAAACGCTTAAAAAAGTAAAGTTAAAAATATAAAAATCCTTTCAAAAGCAAAGAAATCCATAATATCCAATCCCATATTAAACTGTTAAATTGTTTTTGGACATTTGCAAGCAGTAGAATTCCAGTATAACAGGTTTTCGTTAGCCCGGAGAAACGAATTGGAAATCGCTACCCGTGCAATCACCAACCTCCAGAAACGCTTTAAAAAAGTAAAATTGAAAATATAAAAATTCTTTCAAAAGCGAAGAAATCCATAATGTCCAGTCCCATATTAAATTCCCATATTAAATTCCAGTATAACAGGTTTTTGTTAGCCCGGTATTTAAGCAACGAATTGGAAATTGCTACCCGTGCAATCACCAACCTCCAAAAACGTTTAAAAAAGTAAAGTAAAAATATAAAAATCCTTTCAAAAGCGAAGAAATCCATAATATCCAATCCCATATTAAACTGTTAAATTGTTTTTGGACATTTGCAAGCAGTAGAATTCCAGTATAACAGGTTTTCGTTAGCCCGGAGAAACGAATTGGAAATCGCTACCCGTGCAATCACCAACCTCCAGAAACGCTTTAAAAAAGTAAAATTGAAAATATAAAAATCCTTTCAAAAGCGACGAATCCATAATGTTTGATCCCATATGAAACTTGTTTTTGGATATTTTTGTTCAGGAGAATTCCAGGTTTTTGCAAGCCCGGTATATAAAAAAATATTGAAATTTCATTGCGCAAATCGAACAACCTGACGGATATGTATCCAAAACGCTTTTAAAAAATATAGTTAAGAATAGAAATCTTTTGAAAAACAAATTATCCTTAATATTCAATCTATATGAATTGCATTATTTTATTAATTTATTTAAGGATTGCCTTTCGTTTGTCCGGCTTGGTATAAGTTGATCTTTTTTAAGAAAAATAAATTCTAATAAAGCCTTACTATAGATTTAGTTATCATTTTTGGAAACGATTCACAGGTTCGAATGCATCTTCGATTTCACTGAAATAATATCTTAAGCAAAAAACACAAACATAAAATATAAAAACTTTTTTTGCCACTGAAAATTCAGATTTCTGGTCTTATGAACCTGTATTATTTTACCACAGGGATCCCAAAATCCAACCATCGTCAAACAACGCTTTATAGGAGAAAAACTAAAAACGTCTTTCAAAAAACACTAGGTGCTTTAGAAACTGCTTTCTTAGCTTTAAATCTTGGCACAAAAAAAATTGGATTTTTCGCAATTTTTTATAGAGAACAAGGCTCTTGAAGTTGCGACCCCTAAAATCGCGTTTTTTCGAAAATCCCAAATTTTCGTCAATTTAAAAAACCGCTTTTTATAAACAAAATATACACTAAAAGAAAGCTGAGGATGAGGGCTTTATGTTTCTGAAACTATTTTTTCCGATTATTTAAAAGCGATGGCGTAATGAGGGAAGGAARTTTCTGGTCTGCGGTCAACTAGTCAGCGGTATACTGTTTTTACACTTTTGCATATTTTTGTATGTTTTTGCCTTTCGTGTTCAACAAAAATTTCGTGAATAACACCTTCAATAATGCTCTAAATAACTGCATTTACAAAAGTTTGGAAAAGTTTTGAGAACGTTGAAAATGGAAAGGCGAAAACATTTCAGTCTGGGTTGCCTGTGGTTTCATTATTTTACCACAGGGATCCCAAACTCCATTGATCGCCAGAAAACGCTTCATAGAAGAAAAAATAAAAATTTCTCTCAAAAAGCGCAAGATGAATTAGAAACTTCTTTATTAGCTTTAAATGTTGGCACAAAGATATTTGGACTTTTCGCATTAATTCAAAAGAATGTCAAAGGTCTCAAATTTTGGTGAGATTATAAATATTTGTAGAAAAATATACACAAAAGAAAGATAAGGATGAGGGCTTTACTTTTCTAGAATTATTTTTTCCGATCATATGAAAGCAATGGTGTTATGAGTGAAAGAATTTTCTGGTCTGCGTTCACCCTGTCAGCGGTCTACTGTTTTTAAACTTTTGCATACTTTGGTATGTTTTATCTTTTCTTTTTCAATAAAGATTACATTAATAATACATCTCACTTTGCGCTAAATAACCGCATTCACAAAACGCAAGTTTATGTAACTTAAAAAAGAATGAATGAAAGAATGCCTTCCGCAAAAATATAAGGAGTTTGTTTTAAGAAGTATTAAATATCCTGTTACTTTAAAACTGAAGTGCTTTTTAAGACATATTTTTAAATAAACCTTGCATTTTTAAACAATTTATTAATTGCTATCTACATTCATTGTCCATAGAGACAAAGATATGACACTCAAGGGAATGGTCATTCTAAAATCTTTAAAGACAAAAGGTGTTTTTGTATAAAGCACGATTTTTAAGAGTACACTTTTCTTTTTCATGCAGATTTTTCATTCTCAAGGGATTCGTAGACATCCAACAAGCTTGTTCTGTTCCGCCATTTTGAAAAACAACAAGAAGAAGCCATCAAAGTGTTCCAAAATGTCAAGAAACCAGCCGTAATAAAGATCCTAGACGTCTAAAACTAAAGGTAATGCGAAACTGAAACTTTGTCTAACTATTAGGTTTAGAAAAACGAATAAAAATAGTCGAAATTCGTTGATTTTTGAGTATGTTTTTGCTCGTCAATGCTGAAGTAAGATTATTAAACTGCGCAATGGCTTCTTTGGTTTTTAATTATACTGATTTTGTACCGGCGGCCAATCTTTAGAACTGTTTAGAATGTTGTTGTATTTATATATAGTTGTACCTAGCAGTACCTCGTCAATAACCCGCAGAAAAAAACACACTTCTTGGCAAGTTATTTACCCTCAAATTCGTCCCTCCCTTATATCTAATTCCTACATTCATATATAGAATACATTTATCACCTTCCATCATTAAATTTGAAGCCGAGTCTTAAATTACGTACATTAATATCCATTCTCGTACCCAAAACCTTCTCAGCTTTCTAACGAAAAATCGAAGAGAAGGGTTTGGTAAGAGAAGGATTACTGCCCACAAGATTATAAGTTTTCCTTTCTATTTTTTCTTTCTAAATTGATTTCTTTATACAAGTTTATATAATTCTTATTCATTTATTTAATTAATCTACCTTTTTTTAAACTAGATTACCGAATCATGGAAGCCAGCAAAGCAAAGAATCAAAAATGGAACAAGAGAGTCGCGATATTCAATCGACGTGCTTCAGGTCATACAAAATATTACGTTAAAAAAATTCCATTWATTTTTTGGCAAAAGATTAATATTTTGAATTAAAGTTGACGTGTTTTACATGTATTCGTTTTAACGATGTATAATAAATGAGTTTCAAAATATTTTACCGTTTGCTTATTTCGTGGTACACCCCTTTTCAAATTTTCGTTTTTTTTCCCGCCAAAAAACTTARAAAATTTTCAGGCTCCTTGTCACGTGATCTGATCTATGGTTCAAAGCTTTTTCCCGCCCAAAAACTTAGGATTTTTTTAGCATGTTCATCATTTGCAACCTTAGTTGTACTTTGCTCACTGCACCACACCCACTTGCACCCCTTGGTCGCTTTAGCACCTTTACCCTTTGGCTAGCTTAGCACCTCTACCCCACCCATCTAATCCCCTTAAGCACCTTCGGCTAACTTAGCACCTTTACCCTTTGGTTAGCTTATCACCTAGACCCCACCCATCTAATCCCCTTTCTTTATTCTGCTAATTACCCCATTGTTTCGTTCAGACAATAAACAAGACATTAATTATGCATCAGAATTTTTAATCGGTAATTAATGCAAGCCATTACAAAGCCCTATGACTTAAGGTACATCAGTCCCATCACTTTCAACAAATAAACTGACAGTATACAACACAAGTGCACCGGCTAATGGACAAGAGGCAAGTTGAAGGTAAGGGTTCAAATCCAGGTAAGGTCTAGGTTCTCAGATGAAAAATTGGACAAGCAAAAAGACAGCCACCCACAAGCAAGGAACAAGGCAAGTCTGGTATGCATCAGCAAGGTAAGAAAGAATGGCTCGAAAAAAAAAACAAAAAAAAAAACAGAAATTGGCTTTAAAAGAAAAAAAATTCAAATTGGCTTAAAAAAATAAAAAAAATTCAAATTGGCAAGAAAAAAAATGAAAAAAAATAAAAAAAAGTAAAAAATCCCCATAAATTTTGAAAAAATATATACTAAGTCTTTTTGTGATTTTTTTTGCCCCTAGGGTAATTAGACGAAGGTCCCTGAGATCAAAAGTTCAAACCTACCCTCCCCTTAAGAAAAAATGGCCCTCAACAAAGTGTTAAGGACCACCCTTAAGGGTTTGCATAGGATGAACTGATGACCTCAGGGACAGAGCTTTTGATTAGGATTCTCAAGACGAAGGTGTTGCTTGATTAAAAGACTGGTACTGGAAACTAAAATGAGGCATAAAACTGGTTTTATGCCTCGTATACAGTATTAATTGGGCCCAGTTAGACTTGGAACTTTTCATCTACTTTATCTAATCAGATTGAAAGCCGCCTTTAACTGATTAGAGGGTAGCTTGCGTGGAGCTTTATGAAACTCGAAAAGACCCAATTCTGGATGACTGATTTTAGATACCTCCCAACATTTAATATTTGATCAATGAAAAGTTCCATGTCTACACTGAGCCTTACCAGTACTWGTAACAGAATTGACTTAGACAGGATTGCAGCAAACCATGGTGTATGGCAAGGTATAGTGCAGTGTGTTATAGTATGGTTTTAAGATGAAATCAGAGTGAATCTATCCTGGAACCTCAAGACTGTACCATGGTTTACTCAATCCTATACAATCTATTCTGCATTACAGCAAGAGTAACAAATGGTATTTTTTTGCTGACCAATCATAAATTGTTTGCAACCRGGTATGTAATTTTGATTTTCTTTCATTTAATGATAGTAATATTGTTAATAATATTGTTTCCAACTTGGTATTTGCAATTTGAAGTCCAAAGGTAGTGGCAAGAAAAACATATCAAGCCATTATAACGCCAACATCAGATAAGCCCATTTTTTCAATCATTTTAGTTAACAAATCCATTCAGTGCCTGAAACATGGCAACATACYATTTGATTTTTAAAATAACATTTTCAATTTGAAATCTTTTTAACGAATAAAACTCTTTTCAGAGTCGGACAGAAATTAACTAAGTTTTAGTATAYCATTTGTTATCTCTTGTTGTACTTTTAACTCAAGCAACACCTTTGTCAGACTATGAGATGAACACACCAAGTCCTGTGAAATACTGATGCCAAATAACTTTTTTTTCGTTTGTATTTTTTTCCGATCAGGTTTTTAAGTAGTAAGTACATTTTGTGGAATACAATAAAGTCACTTATAGTTTTGAGACTTTCCTCATTGGTGATTAAGTAAATGGAACCAAAAGAAAAGATGAAATTGGAGCTGAGAGATAATATTGGTGAGGCCTTTAAGAAAGGCATTCAGGTTTTTTTTAATGATTTTAGGTTTTACCCAAACAATGTAAAAGGTGGCCAAAAATAAAAAATATTTAGATAATATAATATTACAGAAAGAACTYKAAACAGGATTGATATGGCATAGCCATAAAACATCAGTCAATATCCAATTAGAATTTTGTACAGTATTTCTATCTGACCATTGGTGTGTCCACTCATAGTCCTAAGTTAATATATTTTCACCACTTTAAGAATAAATGGAACCATTTCCACTGATGAGTACAAACACTACAAGCAGTTGCAACAGGTAATGGGCCAAAAAATTGACTACAGTAGTACAAAATAGGTTTAATTTGTACTAACTTTAAAAAAATAAAAAAAACTAAAATTGGCATACACATGAAAGCCTAAATCTCTTGACCATGATACTTAGTTGAACTTATTTAAGTGAATTACTTCAATTGACTCATCTGTTGCTCTGCAAGTTTTAGTGTTTGTAAGGTAACTAAGAACTTGTCGGAGAAAAGTAATTTAGAAAATTGCACCTTCCAACCAACATCCTCTGAGTAATTTGAAATAAATGCAATAGCAAAATACATGGTCTACCATATTTTTAAATAGCAATGTAAGAGATTCAGAAAAGCAATTGGATGATAAAAGAGGACATTGGTGGAAAAATACAAGACTTAATGCTGGTAAATTATGCACTTGACTTACCGTGTTGAAGGGAGTGAACCAGGAGTACAGAATGTAGCAGGCAAATCTTTATTAAAGCATCATWATATATGGTAATCAAAGAAAGTAGAACCACACTATCTCATCTAATATGCTCAAAGGATAAATTGAAAGCCAATAATAACATTTAAAAATGTCAAATGCAGCTGATTGATCATGAATTTGGTTATCACTGTCTTAGTTGCTACACGCTGATTGAGAAAACAGACACGACATGAAAATCAGGAAATACAATTGATAAGAGTATGCAAAGGTACGAAAACCTTTTTTTGATTCTCTTGATCAGTGAGTAACGATAACAAGGACAAGATAGTGGGGTTCTACTGTATCATCAAATGCATCAATGAGAATAACAATCATCATGATGTATACAGTATCCTCTCACTTACTATGGTTGCAGAATGACTAAAATCAATGAACCAAATGAAAAGATAAAAAGAGATTGTTTTTTCCTTTAATTAAAAAAAAAAGACATTTAGAATCACAGAATTTTTTAGTACAGTGAGAGCATACTGTACAAACTGTAAACATGTCAAACAAAGAAAATGTTGAGGAAAAAGCTTATTTCCAAATTTCAGATTCTTGGAATTTGCCAAATCTGATTCAAAAGCAAAAAGAAGCGTTGAAAAAAATTAAAGCAAAGGAATTAGAGTAATGAAAATATTGTAACTCAAATTCAAAATACTTAAAAATGTATCTTAAATCATTGCTTGTCTCTGGGAAAAAATTCATAGAAGTAGTTTGAATAGAATATACAAAATTTTGAAAGAAACTTTTTCTGGTACATCAATAATCAATCAAATGTAAAATGAATCATTCAAAGTGAGACAAATAAAGATCAAAAAATATCAGTCAAATGCAACAAAAGACAATCAAAATCATAATCAATCAAATATATGTCATAATATGTAGAGTTGATCCAAGCCAGCCAGTCATCACGTCCAAAGGAGACATTATATGTACATAAGTTACCAGCATTTAGTAAATTGTAAGAAAATTCAAAAGATGTGGYCACTTTTCATTTGYAACGAAAAGCTTGCACAACCTTTGATAGTTTGAGTTCTTATTCTTAAAGTGGTGAAAACAAATCTACATACAACAAAGCATTATATGTAGATGAATTAATAATTAAAGATTATTCACCAAAGACAAAGTGAAGATCAGCCAATATTTGAGGCAAATATCAACCAGAATCCACTCAATCAGTGGTGAATAAGTATTTAGTAGAATTACACTGGTGCTCAATCAATTCAAAGAAAATTGTTTTCGCTGGTGTAATTTTACTAAATAACATCTAAAACTAACACTTATAGATTCAGCTAGACTTCATATCCTTGATGATCCAACTAAAAAAACAATAAAGTGTCAGTATGATGGTCCTCCAAGGTGAGTAAAGCCTAAAGGTCCCTTCATTTTTTATCTGGGAGCAGGTGGGGCAGTGGAATTTTTTTTGAGCCCATTTTGATAACTTCTGAACAAAGACTTTTGTTTTCAGGACCATAAAAATGGCTGCCGTGTGATTAAAGCCCAAGAGGGGAACACACAAAACAATGCAAGTCRCACCACACTTATACAATTGGACCATTTTTTAAAGTAATAATGGATCATGGAGTCCGGGTGCAGGTTACAAGGGAATTCYACTGCTTACCCCCTGATAAAAAAAGAACAACCCTAGGGGGCCCTACCAAGGARAATTTGTCAACCACTCCCTTTTGCAAAAAATATATCTTGTTTGACTGTAGTTTTAATTAAAACGAAAGCAAATCCGTAAAATTGGGCTGAATGCTTAGACTGCCTTTCTTTTTTCTTAATTTGTTGATGGATATACGGTTAGAAATATTCAAATTTTTGCACAAAAAAAAGTAAGAAAAGAAAATCATGTCTAAATCAACTTTGAATTCTTTCTGCATTTATTGAGCAGTCATAGAGTGTTTTTTTTAAGGTCAGAACAAGAAAGTTTGCAAAACTTTTAGCCCTGAAAGTCTGCCACGTGCAACAACCAAACAAGATGTCAGATTTAAATGCTTATTTAAGCGGCGAAAAATTCTAGAAAGCCTCAAATGAATTTATACAGGGGAATAACTCAATCTTATCTTAAGGTTTGTCTAGTTTAGTCTAGTTGTGAAGCATTTCTTACCGTGTAATGGTCGAAGTTTGTGTCAACACGCCATCTTGTTTCTTCTTTTCAGAGACCCTGAAGCATGATGCAAATACTTATTTAACAGCGAACATTTTTAGAAAGCCTCAAATGAATTTATACAGGGGAAGAACTCAATCTTATCTTAAGGTTTGTCTAGTGTAGTCTAGTTTTGAAGCATTTCTTACCGTATAATGGTCGAAGTTTGTGTCCACACCTCGAAGCTTCACTTCACCCGCCATCTTGTTTGTTCTTGTCAAAGAGACCCTGAAGCATGATGGGTACACGTGCTTCACTACCACAGGAAGCCCATGGCATGTTTTAGTTGTAAGATGATGATGAGAAGCAAGAGAATATGAACTAAGAGAAGGGATCCTACCTATATAGCCTTGTAACCATCATGTGCACAGTTTGATGCTATTTTTAGCTTGGAGATATTTTGAGCGAAGAACCTGATTGGTTGATTTCTTGAGGGTAGGCGGCTTCCAGTCTTGCAGTAAACAAAAGCCTGTGTTTTTGTCGTCGAAACGAAATATGGCGCTTTTCGTGTTCAAAAACGAGGCATTAAAGGGAAGCATGATTATCGCGCGGGTATGGTAACGAGTTAAAAATAGCATCAATGATTCTAAAAATAGCATCAAAGTGTGCACATGATGGGGCACGGGGATTCCTTCTCTTGGTTCATTTTCTCTTGTGAGAAGCTTATCACCTTAGTTTTAGAATGTATTCAGTATTCTATAATCTTACCGGTCAGACCCCAAGAACGTCTCAAGTGTTGTTTTAATCGCTTCAAGGCTAGCTTGGCAAATACTCTTGTGAATTTCAGGCCTGCGCACGTCGTTTCCAAGGCGCTTATGCATACCAGGGCGTGGATCTAGTCTTTGTAACTCTCTCATCAGCGTCAAAGGTTCATTTGATACAGGTTCTTTTCCTAGTGCTCCAAGCACGTCTTTAGCAAACTTGCTGTAGTGAGCTGTGGCTGAGATTATTAGGGGTTTATTAGGGGTGGTGAATTGATCAGCCACATCTTTAGCTACCGCGGTATGCGGATCTAGGAGGTAGCCAGTCTGATTGGAGACCTTTTTGATGGTGTCGAGACATCTTTGTTGTGCTGTCCATCCAGATTGGATTTTACAAGAAATGTTTTTACGAAGGGATTCTGAGATCTGGTTAGAAAAAAATACGAACCGAAAACTATGTATTTAAACATCTTTTAAAATYCTCCCTGACAAATTAAAACTATCCTTGGAATATTAGACTGAAGATTGTGTCTTGTTTAAGCCTCTTCTCTTGTCTTATCTCCACTCCACCCCTTCCTCTGTCCATTCCTCTCCTCTCCTCTCCTCTCCCCTCCTCTCCTCTCCCCTCCTCTCCTCTCAGTCTCCTCTCTTCTCTTCTCTGCTCTCCTTTGCTCTGCCCTCCTCTCAGTCTCCTCTCCTCTCCTTCCCTTTCCGCCTTATATATAACTTTACCTGAAGACGTCCGTTCTCTTCCAAAGAGTTGTAAAGCTTTGTAACCAATTCAGCATCATTTGAAGCCACGTGATACAAGAACCGCTCCAAATTCGAGGATTTTAGAATATCAATGGACGGAGACGCGGTACAGAGAAGGTTCCTTCCACGCATGTCGTAAACACCGCTGTGGAAGAACTCCGTAAGGATGTTGTTCTCATTGGATGCGCAAATGATCCTGTCAAATGGAATTCCCATTTCCTGGTTGTAAAATGGGAGAATAATGAAGAAAATTAAACCAGAGGTGCTTACCATTCAAACCAATCCATCCGGTAGGAAATTCGTTCGCTAATAAAAAGAGCGGGAAACTTTGACTTTCGAAAAAAGGGCACTCGTGTCTACCGAAAGAACCGAAAAGAGCGGGAAAAGTGGATTACCTCAATTGTAAGACCAAGTATTCCGGAACTTTCCGATTGCACTGACACATACCATTTGTCATATATAAAATAATCTTTCATCAGGGACAATAATYTTTCATCATGTTTTACCGGTTGTATTCCAACCGGAATTTCCGGTTTTTACGAATAAATGGTAAACACATCAGTACTACCCCTCTAGAGTAATTCTATTTGGCCCGTGAAAAAAGAATGAGCATATTCCATAGTAGTAGACACTAATTCCATTGTCGTCTTTTGTTTTACTTTGATTATCACTGACTAATTATAAGCTTTAGTAAATTAACTAACTTTGTTTCGTGGGCCAAGTAGAATCACTCTATCCATTACCCTCTGTAATTAATATAATAATAAAGATAACGATAATAATAATAATGATGCTAATAATAATGATAATGATGATGATGATAA